CCCCGGTCCCCGGTCCCCGGTCCCCCCTCGCTCCCGCTCTCACCTCCGCGCGCTCCGCCGCTCCCGCGCCGCCGCCGCTCGCGCTGCCCGGGCGCCGCCTTTCATTGGCGCGCGCGGCGGCCGCGGGCCGCTCTCGGCCAATCCGGCGCCGCCCCAAAACTTCCCTGGCCAATGGCGCGCGGGGGAGCGCGGGCGTGGGCGGGGCTACGGGACACGGCCAGGGGACTGGACCGGGACCGGGACCGGGACCGGGACATGAATGACCGAAGAACTCGGGACATCGGTCTGGTACCGATAGCCAGCCGTGACGGACAGAAACTCCCCAGCATGTAGAGTTAGAAACCGTGTGTGTTCACTGCGCGCGGGACAGCTCCCAAACCACACCGCGCCTTCCGAGTGATTACACAGCCTTTTATCCATCCAAGTATTGAACACCCCAAATACAAACACATATTCATCATTTGGGTACATCCCATTCCTCGCTTCCTATGCTAATCACCTCGAAAGCTATTCAGCATGAAGTTTGTTCCTTGAAATGGGTTGGTGGTCCCAAAATGAGGCAGTCAATGAAGTCTTCCTCGTTCTGACCTTTCTACCTTTTCAATGCAAATATGACAAATGAACTCTTGGTAGAACTCCCATTCCTTGTCTTCAGTTGGTTTCAGAACAGAGGAGGCCACAATTGTTTTATGTTCCTAAAAGCTCTTTGTCAGTTTGTGTATTCTTCATTATAAACCCAGCTAACTCTACATTGTGCTGACAAGCAATCCATTATTAGTTAACTACTAACTCTCAACTTCATCAAGGCCTACTCATTTATTTTCATTAACTCTAGTAAGGCTTATCTCTAACTAAAATCTTAGCTCCTCTAAAATCTCTAAATTCCTTAAAGTTTATGTTTCAGATGGATAGGGACAGGGATAGGGATAGGGATAGGGACAGGGACAGGGACAGGGATAGGGATGGGGAAAATGGTCTCAGAGAGGGCATGGGGAGATGGGACACTGTGGAGGAATTGTTCCCTGGCAGGGTGGCAGCCCTGGCACAGGGTGCCAGAGCAGCTGTGGCTGCCCCTGAATCCCTGGCAGTGGCCAAGGCCAGGCTGGACGGGGCTTAGAATAACCTGGGACAGTGAAAGGAGCCCCTGCCCACGCCAGGGAGGATGGAACCAAGTAAAGGTCTTCCTGTTCAATAATCAAACCATTCTGGGATTCTGTGCTCGGACAGCACAGTCCCTGCGGCTTGAAAAAGAGGACAAGAAGCTTGGTATTGGTAAATGTTCCTGCCCCAACGCAGCAGTGCCAGGAAGGGCTGCGGGGGGAGAGATGGGGCTGCAGCTTTGGGGTACCCAAAACTGCGCAGCCTCTGGCTGGGGTAGGGCGAGCTGTCAGCTCTGCAGCCAGGCTGCCTGTTGTGGCTGGCCTGGGGCTGTCACTCTGTCCTGCAGTCCCACTGTCCCTGTGTCCCCCTGTCCCTGTGTCCCCCTGTCCCTCTGTCCCCCTGTCCCTCTCTGTCCCCCTGTCCCTCTGTCCCNCCCTCTGTCCCTCTGTCCCCCTGTCCCTCTGTCCCCCTGTCCCTCTGTCCCCTGTCCCTCTCTGTCCCCCTGTCCCCTGTCCCTCTCTTGTCCCCCTGTCCCCTGTCCCTCTGTCCCTCTCTGTCCCTCTGTCCCTCCCCTGGCAGGCGCTGCCGGAGCCCGGGAATGATTTCCGAGTCAGACAGGAGCAGGAATGTGCCGCCGTTCCTCACGGCGGACAGACACGGGATGGTTTTAGCAGGAGAAACGGCCCCAGACCGTGTTTCTCTTGTTATTTCAACGATGCTGAGCACCGAACGACAATCTACTGCCTTTTGTATTTTGGGTTTTTTTCCCCAGCATTGGTGAGGTCTTTACTGCCTTAGCAAACATTGCTGCCGGCTGCAGCAAACATTGCTGCCGGCTGCAGCAAACATCGCTCCTGCTCCCGCTGGGGCCGGGCTGCAGCACAAAGGGCCTTTGTGCAGGTGAGGGGAGAGCGCCCCACGCTCCCCGCTCGCTGCCCTGCTGCCCGTTCCCTCTGATCCCAGCCCACCTTCTCCCTCTTCACCTGCCCGAGCCCAGGACAAGCCTGGAGTGGCAGCGAGCGGCAGCACGCAGCAGCATCCAGCAGCATGCAGCAGCACACAGCAGCATCCAGCAGCATCCAGCAGCATGCAGCAGCACGCAGCAGCATCCAGCAGCATCCAGCAGCACACAGCAGCATCCAGCAGCATCCAGCAGCATCCAGCAGCACGCAGCAGCATCCAGCAGCATCCAGCATCATCCAGCAGCATGCAGCATCATCCAGCAGCACGCAGCAGCATCCAGCAGCATGCAGCAGCATCCAGCAGCATGCAGCATCATCCAGCAGCATGCAGCAGCATCCAGCAGCATCCAGCATCATCCAGCAGCATGCAGCAGCATCCAGCAGCACGCAGCAGCATCCAGCAGCATGCAGCAGCATCCAGCAGCATGCAGCAGCATCCAGCAGCACGCAGCAGCATCCAGCAGCATGCAGCAGCTGCAGCTGGGATCTGTGCTCGGGGGCACGGCCCCAGCGTGGAGCCCAGCCGGCTCCTCAGAGCTGCGCTCCGGCCGAAAATCCCAAAGTGCCGCTGCTGAATTCCTGCCGTGTGGTACAAACGGCCGGAATTTCCCGCCGGAGGGGAACGGGGAAGGCGACATCCCGGGGTCATATGGAGCTGGATATCCCGCTGTGCCTCTGGGATCCAGCTGTGCCTCTGGATCCAGCTGTGCCTCTGGGATCCCACAGTGCCTCTGGGATCCCACAGTGCCTCTGGGATCCAGCTGTGCCTCTGGGATCCAGCTGTGCCTCTGGATCCAGCTGTGCCTCTGGGATCCAGCTGTGCCTCTGGGATCCAGCTGTGCCTCTGGGATCCAGCAGCTAGCAACGCCTCTGCAGAGCAGGAATGTACCCCTGAATAAATGGACATTTTTAGAAGAGGTATTTGAATGTCCTCAAAAAAAATCTGGGCTAAAAAGCAATGGCAGAGGAGAAATTCTGGAGGGATAAAGTGCCCCCGGGAGGGCTTTTGAACCTGACCTTGCAGAGGCGTTTGGGATTGAGCAGGGAGAACAAACGGCGCAGGGATATTGTTTTTCAGGCTCCCGGAGGGCTTGGCAGGCCCGGGAAAGGTTTGGCATGGCAATGGGGTGACACTATCTCCCTTTCCCAGGGCTCACACTGCCCTGGGACATAGGAAAGAACTCACCAAGGGACCGCAGGGCGCCACGAGGCCCAGGCTGTCCGGCCAGCACCCAGCAGGAGCAGTGGCACTGCCGTGCTGCCACCCACCCTGGGGACACTGTGGCAGGTCGATGTCACCCTGATTTTTGAAATTTTCTAGAGCCTTCTGAGTTTACATCCTTGCAGAAAACTTTCTCACACGACTTTCTGTAAATAACGTATTGTTTTACATTCCTTCATAGAGGTGGAGAAATTGAATACACTAGCAGTTTGTGCAGTGTGGTTGGAGAGGTGGTGTGTTCACCCTCCAATCCACTGGCACCTCTGGAAAAATAGAAATGTTAGAGTGAGAAATAAAAGCTTCTCTTTGTTGCCTTTACAGCAGCAGCAGCTTGCGTGGGGCTCTCACGGGTCCCACAGTAAGAGGTGCCCAGGGTCTGCCAGGCTTGGACAAGCGTGGGGGAAGGTTTTTGGTGCATGCTGGAGAATCAGCGGGCAGGGAGATGTCCCAGGTGGACGTGCCAGCTCCGGCTGGGGCTGTGCTGGGTGGGATTTGAGCAGCAGTTGTAGAGCTGCAGGAGCTGAGCAGCTCTGGGCGCTCCCTGTGCAGCCAAGGCTTGCCAGCAGCAGAACCCAGCGCTGGAATTGGAGTTAAAGCCCTTCCAGACGCTTCCTTTGCAATGAAACCACATCTGGAGCAGCTGTAGTTAGTGATGGCACAAAGAAACCAGGCAAGTGACAGCGGCACGGGGCAGAGCGAGGGGCACACCCAGGGCAGCCCAGCCCCGCCCGCAGAACTGCCAGGACGCTGCAGGCTCCGGAGCCGAGGAGCCCCGGGGCTCCCGGGCACATCCCCCCAGCAGTGCCCAATTCAGAGAGCTCCTTCAATGGCTCCTCATTAACCCACCTGGAAATCCGGCCCACGGACACAGAAATGGCCAGGGCTGATGGGCAGTGCCCATTCCAAAGAGCTCCTTCAATGGCTCCTCATTAACCCACCTGGAAATCTGGCCCACGCACACAGAAATGGCCAGGGCTGATGGGCAGTGCCCATTCCAAAGAGCTCCTTCAATGGCTCCTCATTAACCCACCTGGAAATCCGGTCTGCACACACAGAAATGGCCAGGGCTGATGGGCAGTGCCCATTCCAAAGGGCTCCTTCAATGGCTCCTCATTAACCCACCTGGAAATCCGGCCCACGCACACAGAAATGGCCAGGGCTGATGAATATTTCTGCTCGGGGGTCGGTGAGGCTGCAGCCAGCCCTGGGACCCCCAGCAGCACCCCGGCCCCTCTGGGAGCAGGTCTGTGTGCTGCAGGAAGAGCTGGAGCTGTGCTCAAAGGGATCACTGCAAACTGCCCTGTGCTACCGCGTTCTTGGCTAATTTTCAGTTTTTCTCTTTTGTACAAACATAAAGGGATAAATTAAGTAGAAAATACGGCTCTGCAGCTGCTTTCAGTTAAGTGTTTCCCCCTTTCCGTGAATGCTGTAGTAAAGCTACAGATTTGGTTGAAATATTTTTGAATAAATTTTCATCTCCTGGATCCTCAGTCAGAGCAGAGTAATCAAAGGGAAATGACGAGAAAATAAATGGAAGAAACTAATCAAAAAGGCAGACAAAGGCCAGTTGAATCCCAACAGCTCCTTTTCCCTTAAATACTGAATAAGATAACCTAAATTTTTGTATGGGCTGCTTTTGCCTGTGGTTGATTTACAGAGATACAGGATTGAAGTAGGAAGGAAAGGAAATACTGCATCAACTCTATGAAGTATTTTACGGTGACACACACACTAAGTTTTTTCACTGGTCGTGATCAAATGAGTCATCCCGTTTGTA